ATGAGAATTCCAGCATCCCCACCTCCCACCAGCTCTTACTATTGTTGTTCTGCTTTGTTTTAGCCATGATAGGCGTGTGGAGGCATCTGATCCTGCCTCTGAGAAGTAACTATGAGCACTGTGTCCTATACTGGCCCTATTGTGCAGAGTTATCCAAGTCTCTGTTCATTTTTTACATTGTGTTCATCTTTCATTGATAGTAATATACTTTAAATCTTTTTTGTTATGTTTATTCATTTTGAGAGAAAGAATAACACACACACACACACACACACACACACACACACACACACACACACGCTCAAGCCGGGGAGGGGCAGAGGAGAGAAGGAGAAAGAGAATCCAAAGCAGGCTCCGCACTGTCAGCACATAGTCTGATGTGTGGCTCAGTCCCACGAACTGTGAGATCATAACCTGAGCTGAAATCAAGAGTCAGTCAGCCAAAATCAAGACATTCAACCAGCTGAGCCACCCAGGCGCCCCAGTAATATATATTTCTTTATATGTTAAGTCTATTATATAATTTAATACTTAATATATATTAATAGACTTTATATATTAAGTCTATTAATTTTTTTAAATGGTGTCATTTGATGAGTTGTTTTTTTTTTTTTTTTTTTTGAGCAGCAAGCAAAAGTTTATTAGAATATAAGATTAGAAAGGAAGAATAGGAAAGCTCTCTTTACAGAGAGAGATAGAGCACGTGTGGTGGAGGGGCAGAGAGAGGATCCCAAGTTAGGGTTAGGGTTAGGGTTAGGGTTAGGGCTCAAACTCCCAAAACACGAGCTCATGACTTGAGCCGAAATCAAGAGTCAGATGGTTAACTGACTGAACCACCCATGTGCCCTGGCTTTTACTTTCTAGGTGAAATTCAGCTTTTTTGTTTTTTTTTTTTAAATCCTTTTCCTGGTTACAAAAAAATTTTTTTTTCATGGAGGAAAACTTGGAAAATAAAATAAAAATGACTCCTAATCCTGCTGCACAGAAATAAGTATTGTTAGCATTTTGCTGTGTTTCTAGCTTGTCTTTTTTTAATGTATCTGTTTACTGAGCATGTGTTATATGCCAGCCTGAGGCGACAGCATGGGACAAGACAAAGTTCCCACCCTTGTGGGATTTGTTGTCTAGTGGGGCAACCTTCAATAAACATGATGACCAGTAATTAGGTGTGAAGGAAGGAAATGAAGGTGGGGAGGGGGCTGGTTAAGGCTGTCACAGAAGGCTCTCAAAAGAGGTGACATCTTATTGGGCTTGCTTTTTTTATTGCATTTTTATCGTATATACAGTTTGATGACTTTCTTTCCTCCTCAACCTTATGTTGTAAGCATTTGCCCATATTAAATATTCTTTGAAAACATGATTTTTAAGAACTGTATAATTTTCCATCAGATGGACGTACTGAACTTTATCTAATCAGCCTGCTATTGTTGGGCATTGTTTAGGAAGCTTCAGTTTTTTGTGTTACCCTCTTCCTACAGCCCTCCTCAGTTCTTTAGGGCAGGGTCACAGAGGTAGACTTAGGAGGGAAAGCTCAAAGCACCCACAGCCTGGGCTTCTCCTGGGTCCTCTGGCTCCATTTTGGGTGCTCGTGTTGAGACTTCTTGCCCCCCCGAAGCCCCTCTCTTTCCAGACCTTCGTGTTCTCCCCTCTGAGGATCGCCGCCAGCAAGGCAGAGGGGCTTGAAGAAGTGCCTGTGGTTGGGCCCCAGGCAGTGGTGAGCTCTGCAGGCGCAGGATCCGCCCTTGGAGACTTCCTAGGTCTCCAGATAGGGAGCAGATTGGGCCAGCTGTCCTGAGGCCTCCTCCTGCCTTCACCGTCCAGCACGTGCCATCTGGTTATCCCCCAGCCTGGGTGGCAGTGTCCTGCCCAGGCACATCTGCGTGTGATGGTGACTCACTAGCTGAGAGTGACTCAGGATTCATCTTATCATACTTTACAGCGGAGATAAATCCTACCCTCTGCCCCTGGTCCATTAGACTACGGTGTGGGTAGGAGGCTGGTTCACCGCTTGTAGTTCAGAAGACGTGGTGTAGGTGAGTCCGGGAAGCCAGAGGCCTGCCAGAGCATTTCTACTTGTGCCATGAGAGTGGCATAGGGTTTCCATCCCTGGGACTCGGGGCAAGTTACCCAACAGCTCAGCTTCCGCTGAAATAGGGGTGATAGCAACACTTCATGGGGTTCAGTCATGTTCCCAGCATGTATCTGGTGAGAGCACCCCATTGCAGGTCCCTGGGTTGCGGAAGTAAACCAGAAAGCAGGGCCTTGCCTTATGGTGTCCAGTGACAGGGACAGACAGCAAGTATGGAAGGCAGTCAACAGGATGACCCCAGGATATGCTCAGGCCTCTGAGTGTCCCATAGGGAGGGAGCTCCCCCATCAGAGTGCCTGGTCTCCCTCACCTCGTGACTTTGAGAGCGCCACTAAGCTGCTTCCTTCCCTCAGAGGTGCTCTGAGCCACAGCTCGAATGCCAGCACTGCAGAAGTCTGGGGGGGGGGGGGGGCAACACCTCAGGAAGCCGTCCCATCCCCCAGCCCGCGGCCATTCCACCCTTACTCCCCTGCCCCCACCTTACCCCCCCCCTCCCCCGGCTCACTGCTTTACAACCCCTGCAACAAATATTTGTGGAGCGCCTCTTGCACCGAGTACCAAGGACTTGACCTCAAGGCACGTACCTTCTGGTGGGGCTTGGCAGTTAGCAAGAAAACCAACCTGCCAAGATGGTTTCTGGGAATACTAAGCGTATAAAGAAGACATGCAGTGATGAGGCGAGTGCCATGGTCATGGTGGGGAGTGGCTAGTGGGTATTCCAGGGAAACCTTACTGGTGAGGAAGCAGTGAAGGGTTGATTCCCAGCATGAGGGAGGCAGCATGTGAAAATCTGGGGCCCAAAGGCCCTAAGGATGGGCTGAGGTGGTGGCTGTTGCGAGTGACAGGGACAGAGAGGACAGACTAGATGGTACGGGGCTGTGAAGACCTCAAAGGGGAGTTCAGATTTTATCCCAAATACAGTGAGAAGTCCCTAGAGGGTAACTGGATTAAAACCTTTAAAGACATTTCCCTAGGGGCACCTGGGTGACTCCATTGGTTAAGCATCTGACTTCAGGTCAAGATCTCCTGGTTTGTGGATTCAAGCCCAGAGCCCCATGTCAGGCTCTGTGCTGACAGCTCAGAGCCTGGAGCCTACTTTGGAATCTGTGTCTCCCTCTCTCTCTGCCCTTCCCCTGTTCATGCTCTGTTTCTCTGTCAAAAATAAATAAAATGTTTAAAAAAAAATTTTTTTTTTTATATTTTTTTGTAACATTTTATTTATTTTTGAGACAGAGAACATGAACAGGGGAGGGTCAGAGAAAGAGGGAGACACAGAATCTGAAACAGGCTCCAGGTTCTGAGCTGTCAGCACAGAGCCCGACGCGGGGCTCGAACCCACGGACCGCGAGATCATGACCTGAGCCGAAGTCGGACGCTTAACCGACTGAGCCACCCAGGCGCCGCCCCCCCAAAAAATGTTTTTTAATAAATAAATTGCACTGCATCCATAAGGTAGTCACTGCATGGCCATTAGATGGTGCCATGGTTGTAGATCTGTGGGCCTGGAAAGATGTTTACAAATACGTTGTGGGGCTTTTTTTTTTTTTTTCAACGTTTATTCACTTGAGAGAGCATGAATGAGGGAGGGGCAGAGAGAGAGAGGGAGACCCAGAATCTGAAGCAGGCTCCAGGCTCTGAGCTGACAGCACAGAGCCTGACGCGGGGCTCGAACTCACGGACTGTGAGATCATGACCTGAGCTGAAGTCAGACGCTTAACCGACTAAGCCACCCAGGCACCCTTACGTTGTTTTGTGTTTTAAAGTTTGTTTATTTTGAGAGAGAGTGCAGGGGAGGAGGAGAGGGAGAGAGAATCCCATGCATACTCCGTGCTGTCAGTGCAAAGCCCAGTGCAAGGCTCCATTTCATGAACCATAAGATCATGACCTGAGCTGCAGTCAAGATTTGGACACAACCCACTGAGCTACTCAGGCACCCTGTTTGTTTGGTTTTGTTTGTTTGTTTGTTTGTTTTTAAAATAAGCTTATTTATTTTGAGAGTGAGAGAGCATACACACAGCAGGGTAGAGACAGAGAGAGAGAATCCCAAGCAGGCTCCACGCTGACTCAAGGCTTGATCCCACAAACCATGAGATCATGACCTGAGCTGAAACTAAGAGTTGGACGCTTAACTAACTGAGCCACCCAGGCGCCTGTATCACATTTTTATTAAATGTTTATATTTATTCACATATTTTGAAACTGAGGAATGAAAAGCAAATGTTAAATAGATGGTAGGATTAAGATGGCTTGTAATTTGGCTTCTAGTATTTATAACTGCTTTATTGAGATAGTATAAGCTGTACATCCTTAAAGGATATGATTTGATATGTTTTGACACGTATGCACCTGTGAGACCATCACCTTACCTATGTTTTTTAATTCTGTAAAGTGATTTATTACAGATTTTATTTTTTTGCTTTTTTTTTAATGTTTATTTTTGAGAAAGAGACACAGAGCATGAGTTGGGGAGGGGCAGAGAGAGAGGGAGACACAGAATCCAAAGCAGGCTCCAAGCTCTGAGCCGTCAGCACAGTGTCTGACGCAGGACTCAAACTCACAAGCCACAAGATCATGCCCTGAGCCAAAGTTGGACGCTTAACTGACTGAGCCGCCCAGGCCCCCCTGTGTTTTTGCTTTAAAAAAAAAAAGGAAAGCATATTAACCGTTGAACTGGCTGAACCAAGAGGGGAAGGGATTGGTACCCACTTCCTGAAGGCTAGGCTGTGATGGGCAGGCGGGAATCTTGAAAGGAAGGGCTGGGTACCAGAATGGACTTTGGATCTCTTGTCCCTGGGCCACCTTCTCATAGGCCTGGGCCCTTTCTCAGGACAAAGTGGGCCAAGAGAAGTTGGGAGGGGTGGTGGGAGGATGCCCAGGCCTGAGCATCCAGTCTCCCTTTGCCTTTCCCCAGGAGGCCTCTGCAACCTGTGTCCAGACAGGGCCAACAAGGAGCACATCCTGCAGACAGGGGGCATCCCCCTCATCATCAACTGCCTGTCCAGTCCCAACGAGGAGACCGTGCTGTCCGCTGTCACCACAATCATGTACCTGAGCTCGCCAGGCTCTGCCTCCCACCCTGAGCTGACTGCCATGCCCGTGGTGCAGTGCATGCTGCGCTTCTCTCTCTCGGCCAACACCAGGCTCCGGAACCTGGCCCAGATCTTCCTCGAAGACTTCTGTTCCCCAAGCCAGGTGGCGGAAGCCCGTAGCTGGCGGGCTCACTCTGCCCTGGGTATCCCACTGCCAAGGACTGAGGCCCTGCAGCAGCCCTGATCCAGGGAGATCTCATGGCCATTGACACCCTGACTGCTAGAGACAAGACCACAATCCCAGTGGGGACTCAGGGAGCGGGAGCAGCCTGGCTCCCACTGAATGTGTTCTCCCCAAAAGGTGCCCTTTAAGGTATTTTAAAGGTGAGTTTTCTCAGTGTGACACATATTTACACTGTGATGAGAGGCATTAGATGAGTGAGGGAGCCAGACCTGGAGGCCCATGGAGGAGAGCAAAGGCCATTTCCATAGGTTGGCACCCTTAACCAGCTAGAAGTCAAGAGCCTGCCTCCTACCCCCCCCCCCCCGCAACCCCCCACTTGAGCCAGGCTCTCAACCTAATGTGAGAGAGAAGCAGCTGGGACCCTAGATCCAGAGGCCTTGCAGAAGGGGGTTTTCATGAGGAGCACCTGGGCCTGGGATTAGAATTGTTCATGCTTGAGGGAATAGGAATTCTCCTTTCACAGAAGTATCTGAAGTAATCTTGAGGAATACAAGTGAGAAGCCAGCTCTGGGAAGTTGGTCATGCCCACTCCAGGGCTATGGAAGCTGGGTACCTATACCACAAGGTCTCCAGGCTGGGCATTGGGTATGGTGGACACCGGCCTGGAGAACTCTGTGGCCCGGGATCACCTGTTTATCCACACAGGCCTATCTGCCGGGCACCATGGGCTTCAAAGACGAAGGTGTGGTCTCTACTCTTGAGTGATGCAGTCCGCTGTGAAGGTAGCCATCAGGTGTTAAGACCACGAGTATGAGAGTGAGGACATATCAGAATAAGGCACAGATCCTTGAAGCTTCATATTCTGCCCTTGCCACCCCATGGCCCTGGCCTAAACGCCTTGGCCTTCCTCCTCTGTCATCAGGGTTGGGTTAGTGAGGGCAGGTCCCTGGCCCTGGAAGTCTCAGACTCAGGAGGGCTTCGCGAATGCAAGAGTGGTGCTCAGGGAACACAGAGGACCTCCTGACAAAAATCTGTGGTTTAGAGTCCACAGTGTATGTTGACCAGCACAGGGGAAGCGGTGTGGGACGACCATGGGAAGTTGGGGTTCAGGAGCAATGGGGAGCTTCCTGGCCTCCCTTCTGCAGTCCCTCAAGGTTGACCTCCATGGTCACGATGAAAGATGGCAGATGCAAGAGGCATGGTATCCAGATGGGTGTGGAGGTGGGACTGAGGACAGGAGAAAGCCTCCTCCTCAGCCTGCATTCCAGCTGCCCTCCCTAGGGTTCCTGTACCTCTACTTTCCCAAATAAAGGGCCTTTAAAGAGTGGTGAGCCAAAGTGTTTTATTAAAAAGGTTCCTGAGTAGTTTTCCCACCATGATTCCTTGCCAACCGTCTTATGGGGTTCCAGGTGGCTGCCGTGTGAGAACCGAGGTTACTGTGTCTCCCTGCTCCACGGTGCTGGTGGCCACCGCCATGGCACTGCCCTGTCATCCAGCTCTGCTGGTGTTCCCCGATGGCCTGCCTTCCCTTCCTTCAGCTACTACCCACTGTCCCGGCCCCCCCGCTTGCTGTCTATGATCTCCCTCCAGTTGTCACTCCAGGAGAGCAGCCGTCTCCTTGTGGGGGGCAGGGCGAGGTGCTGGTTGTGGCAGCAGGTGAACAAAATGTGCTCCCAGCTTGGGGTCTCCTCTTGGCCTGGGACAGGATGCAAAAGAAAGGCAGGGAGATGCAGTCTATAATCTGGTTATTTTTACTCCCTCCCTAATCCAGCAGGCCAAATGCCTGGAAGGTTGCCAGGAAAACGGGTCTAACCTCGAATGGTGTCCTTGTCGTCAATGAGCAGGTCCCCCAAGACCACCGTCTTGTCCCTCGTCAGGATAATGCGCTCCACAAACTGCGGCCCCAGGTGATTCTCCACCCAGCGGTACTGTGGAGGGGGCACAGGTCGGTCAGCAGGGCCAGTGAGTAAGTAGGTGGGAGTGGGGTCTCCAGCCCTTGAGAGATGCTGCTCCCCTCCCCCCCACACTTCCTGTGTTTCTGCCCGTTTATTTAAAAGAAAGGGCTTTTTAAGTTTAATTATTTTGAGAGCATGAGCGAGAGAGCAGGGGAGGAGCAGAGAGAGAGGGAGAGAGAGAATCCCAAGTAGGCTAGGCACCTTCAGCGCAGAGCCTGAGCCCTAAACGACCGAGCCCCCGGGTGCCCCTCTGCTAGTTTACTTTAATCCTCAAGATTTAGGAAGCAGTTTGCTATCAAGCGCTGGGGCAGCCGCACCTTCTCGGCCACACAGTGTTCATACTTCGTCAGAGGGCTGGTGCAGATGAAGACTTCGGTGCTGCACGCAAGGGGCGCAGGTTAGACTTAGGGTGGTGCCCTCCCTTCTTCTCCACCGCCCCTCCCCTCTTTGCCCTTTCTCACTCCTGCATGTTGTTCATCTCCTGCAGGGCTTCCAAGGCTCCAGGGATAGGCTCCAAGTCTAGGAAAAAGCCTGGGGCTTCATACACACTGGCCACTTTGTCCTGAAAGATACCATGTTCTTGTCCCAGCTTCTGCCTCCAGCAGATCTAGCCCCAGTGAGGACTCTCAAAAGATTCCTGGGGGGTTTTGGTCTCCAAATCAAAGCCTCGGGGAGACGATTTTGCTTAGGGGGAAGCGCTCTGACAGACTTTCGTCCAGGGCGAACAATGGATTCTAAACGGAGGGTTTTGTTAAACAAAGGGGGAAGACAGTCTTGCCCAAGGGGTGGGCTCCCATTCTTAGGTGCCGTGTGGGGTCGGGGCTCGGGCTCCCTTGCATCCTATGGGGTTCGGGCCCTTGCTCCCGGGTATCCTGCGGGGTCGGGACTCCTCGCTCCCGGGGACACTGTGGGGACTGGGGCTCCCTGCCCGCGGACACCCGGCGTTGCATTCCCGCCCTTTCCCTACTTACCGCCAGGTCTGGCCGCAGGGCTCGGTACTGCTCGCGGGCGAGGAAGCCGCGGCGCTTTTCCAGCGCCACGTGCGGCTCCCCGGGGAACCGGCGACGGAAGCCCCGCAGGAGGCCGGCCTCGAAGTCGGCCAACACGCCATCCATGTCCACCAGCACCCGCACCGGCCGCGCGCGCCGCGCCGCCATCGCCGCAGAGGCCGGGCTGGGAGTGGGGGGGAGGGGGGGCAGACAGGCGCGGGCCGTAGCTTCCGGAGGCGCGCGGTGGGCGGGCGCACCGGGCTCATTTGCATGGGCGCCGGTGAGCCCGGCCTCGCGGGAGGGCGCGACTTTCCCCTGGAGGCGGCGCGGGGCGGCCCGAGAGTGCGCCCGCCTGCACGTGTACCTCCCCCAACTCCGCGGGGGAACGTACCCGCTCACCCCAAGCGGACCCGGGCGGGTCGTGGGCCGCTCGAGGGCGGATCTCAAATTCTGCGATGGGTGAATCCTGTGGGGCTGGCTCCGCCCCTAGAGTCGCGACCGCGAGTCCCGGGGCCACCGGCACAACTCCCTGCTTGTGGGACGGGGCACAGGATCACACCGGATCCCGGGCCAGAACTCCCTGAGGCCCGAATCATGGGGGCTCCCAGTAACTTTGAAGTGAATGACTGCTGAAGACCCCTGACTCGTGTGAGTAGAGCTCCTAAGAGATGAACTCATAAACCAGAGTTGGGAGCATCCACTTTATGCATCCAGTCCCACCCAGAGGACACGATTTCCAACAAACTCAGGTAATCGGGGAAGGTCCTTTCTGTGGAAGGGACACCGCTGTTCTAGAATTGGCAGTTACAGCCCCCTCTAGAAAATGCCTAACATGGCTAAGTTTTGTTGACGCTCCTTTGTAGATTTTTCTCAACTTCCTGACTACGTCCAAATACATTTTCCTACAAACCATAAACTCAGATTTGATTAAGTGACCCGTCTTCCTCTAGTTCCCCATCTGAGCACCCAATACTTCCAAACCAATGTTGAAACACATTACAAAGGGGAGACTAGCCTCTCCTTCTAAAGTGATCTAATTAAAAAACTCTCAAGAAGAGGTACAATCGCTGTAGGCAATAGTGAGTCCTCCAATGTTCCCCCTCCTTCCCATTCAAGTCACACAAACTGGATTTATACCCAGTTTATACCCAGGCAGTGTCAACGAAATACTGATTGTTCTGCCATCATCATAAAATCATTCAACTCCACTTTGTAAACCCTAAGCTTTCTAAGTAGAAAATTTAACACCCTTAGCAAACATGTTACATAGAATTTCATAAAATCTGTTCTGATAGTATCTGAATGATTGGCAGAGCTGTCCCTCACAACACTTGAAATTTGATTAGGCACTTATCTTCAAAAAATAAAAACTTAAAGCCAAGGTACAAGTGTGACACAAATCAGGGACATCTCTTTTCCAGGATCCCACCATTAGAGAGAGAAGGGTACAGACAGGTTCCCTACCTCCAAAGAGGTTCCAATAGAAACCATAACTCAGGCTAGTATTTGCAGAGCTAACCTGTTTTCATCAAATCAGACGGATCCTATACCAAAGCTGTTGATTCTCCATTTTGCAAATGCTTTCTTTGCACCTTAAGGGAGAAAAGCTTTACACCCCCTGAATCTATTCTTCCTAAAGAAATGTCCCAATAGTTCAAATGAAGCCAGTGGTTATGCTCATCGTCTCAACGGTCTTACATTTTAAGATAGGAAACTGGATCCAAGATGACAAGCCTAAAGAACACAGTTGGGTAGTAGTGCAGCTAGACCTAAAAGCCAAGTCTTAATGCCCAATTTGGACATTTAATATAAATATAGCATGTTGATCTGGAACCTTCTGCCTGAACGCAAAGAGCTTTCCTCTCTTCTGTCTGCTCAGATCCTCCTCCCCTTCGTTTGGAGTGCTCTTCTGTAGCCACCCACCATTGAGAAGCACCTTGATGGAGGAGAGGACTTAAAAACTTACATGTTACTGCCCAGCACAGAGAGTGGGTAGAAGAGTCTAAAATATACTACCTAATAAATATTTTATAATTTATCCGTATCCCTGTATTTTATTAGCACAGGTATCAGTTAACTATCTTTTTGGCATTTTGAGCTCCTGCTATGACTGTAAACCTGTTCTCTTTTGAGAGAAGCCCACTTACTTCTCTGGGCCTTCCAACAGTCTTTTAACTTTAGTGACTCATCGGTTCTTGGGCAACAGGATTTATAGTAAAGAAAAAAGCAACTGAACAGGTAGAACAGTGAAACGATCTCAAAAAGATGACACAGGACACGATGTTCCAAATTTGCACATTGTTTACTTTGAGCAACAGTCCAGGATTGTGAAGTACAACACACATGTTAAGGATGAGACTTCAGTTCATGGTCAAGCACCAGCATCATGCACACGGCTTCAAGTTATCTAAGAAGAGCACTGCCCCCTTGGGGTCTGTTCATGACGAAGACCCACTTCTGTGTGGCCACCGCCCTCGCTTGCTTTACCACTTGGAAATTTGTCAGTTTGAGTGCACATCGAAGCCTTCCTCTGCAAGACAGCAGCAGGCTTAGCTCATCAGCTAGTTGAGTTAGTATCTGGCTTATTTCTTAAGGTTCAAAAATGAAAAAGGCAGTTTTTGTTTTTGTTTTTTTGCTTTGCAGGCAGCAAGGCATGAGGCACAGACCTCTACTGTTCCATATGGCACAGGAAGATGCTTTTAGCAAAGGGCACGGACAAGGTAGGGCTACAATGAGTAGGTTTGGCATAAAGACAACCCTGTGTTTGGGGGCCTGAAGGAACATGCCTGTGGACTGTTTACTGGTCTGCCCAATCAAGGCTTGGTAAACCCAAGTAAAGCTGACAAGAAAAGGGTTTTAAAAACCTCAGTACAAAAGATCCTCTAACACATTTGGAACCAGATTATTCTTAAAAACACCATACTAAGTGTCACAAAACTTTCCCTCCAATCTACTACTAGAAAACACTCATGCCATGGCCTACAGACCCAGAGGAATCAGGACAGATAAAGAGAAACCTGTTCTAAAAAAAAAAAAAAAAAAAAAAAAAAAAAAAAAAAAAAGACAGCAGTACATAAAGTGCTTCTTTTTTAATGAAACAAATCCAAAAGATGTACAGTCAGGCTCAAGTTGTGCAGTTCACAAGCATGGAGAAAACAAACAAATAAAACGACAGAGTTCAAGAGAGTCAGAGCTAACCCAGGACGAGGCTGGACTTGCCGCCAGGGGGATTTCTTCGGGACGGCGCTGGGGCCGGGGCCACCGGGCTGGGCACGGGGGCAGCGGGCACGGGCTTCTCCTCGCTCTGCCCCAGGCTGGCCTGCAAATCTGTGTCCACGTTTTCTAGAAAAACAGAAGGAGGTTCAGGCTTACTAAGCAACTATTTCTAGGAAAGATGGAGAGTCTTAAGATTTTTTTTTTTTTGGAGGATGGTTTAAATCATACCTAGAGATATATAAGACAAGAATCATTCACCCATGTTCCCACAACCCAAAACTAACCACTTAGTGTTTTGCCTTATTTGTCCCCAGGCCTTTTTCTGTGTGTGCTCATTTCTAAATTGTACAAATATATGAAGATGTATTTTAAATTAGAAGTCCACCTCCATGTGGGTCTCTTCTTCTGACTCCCAGAGGCCCTACTCGGAATTGTGTCCATTCTAGCCCCTCTGTTATACTTACTTATAAGCATACTTTATTCCCTAAACAGATAATATATACTTCTGGGTTTTGTTGTTGTACTGATACCAACTTCCTTTTTTTATACTCGGAAATTTACCCATATTTATACACATGGTCATAATTTACCCTACTTAACTCCTTTATAGTATTTTATCACATGATTCAATATATTTGATATAATACAGTACTGCATTAGCTGTACTAGTCATGAAAACTGGAACCGACCCAACCATTCCAAACAAAGTTGGAATGTATATAGACTGGCAAAGGTGCCCACGGGGAAACAAGGGCTACCATCTTCAATCTGAACAGACACTATGCATCGCCCTCCCTAGAGGAGGCTGTGCCACGTTCTACCCCCAACCCGTGTCAGACTGTGCTGTCCGTACACCTTTGCACATCCATCATTTGATAACCACCTCACTTTAAAATTTGCCAAACTGATGGGTAAAATATTATTTCATTCCTGTTTCATGTTACATTTCCATGATTACTAGGTGAGTCTGATTTCTTTTTCTAACCACAGAGATAACCCACAGTACCAACATCATTTATTAGAGTCTACCTTTCCCCTACTGATTAGTAATATCTCCATTAGATCACTCCCATATATATTAACTACGTACTTTCCATGTTAAAGGCTTCAGAATTAGTGTACGATTATCCAGCATCCTAGAGACTGCTTGATGATTCACTAATCTGTGAAATTCCCAACAAATATATATTCTTAATGAGGCATTTTCCAAAATATGGAAGTCTTTGTTCAAAGTCCAAAGTGACAGTAAAATGCTAGGTCTCAATTCAGTTGCATAATCTCACACCTGCTTTAGAATAAAATCTCTTAGGGCATCTGGGTGGCTCAGTCGGTCAAGCATCTGATTTTGGCCTAGGTCGTGATCTCACCGTTCCCAAGTTCAAGCCCCGCATTGCGCTCTGTGCTGACAGCTCAGAGCCTGGAGCCTGTTTCAGATTCTGTGTCTCCCTCTCTCTCTGCCCCTCCCCCAACTTGTGCTCTGTGGCTCTCAAAAATAAACAAACATTTAAAAAAAATTTTTAGAATAAAATTTCTTGGGGGTGCCTGGGTGGCTCAGTTGGTTAAGTGCCCAGCTCTTGATCTCTGCTCAGGTCATGATCTCACAGTTCATGAGATCGAGCCCCGAGATGGGCTCTGTTTGCCCTGACAGTGTGAAGCCTGCTGGGATTCTCTCTCTCTGTCCCTCCCCTGCTTGGATGTATGTATGTACTATCTCTCTCAAAATAAATGCTAAAAAAAAAAAAATTAAAATCTCTTCTCCTCAATCTCTCTCTCTCACACACACACAAAGGCAACTTTAGTGTAAGAAACCAAACACATTGGGGCGCCTGGGTGGCGCAGTCGGTTAAGCGTCCGACTTCAGCCAGGTCACGATCTCACGGTCCGTGAGTTCGAGCCCCGTGTCGGGCTCTGGGCCGATGGCTCGGAGCCTGGAGCCTGTTTCCGATTCTGTGTCTCCCTCTCTCTCTGCCCCTCCCCCGTTCATGCTCTGTCTCTGTCTGTCCCATAAATAAATAAAAACGTTGAAAAAAAAAATTTTTTTAAATAAAAAAAAAAGAAACCAAACACTAATTCATAAAACTTGGGAGACAACTACCTTAAGGTTTAAAGACATTTATTCCCTCCTCCCCTAGATTAAGGTGTTCCAAAGCCCTGGAAGCAGTGAAACAGAAATACTGGTTATGATCTATACCATGTAAGAAATTCATATGGCCCTCATATTTGACACCGATGAAAAGTTCTAATTTTGAAAAAATGTACTTTAAGTTCCCCAAAGACTAACCATTAAAAGCTCATGTTCCTAAAAGCACCTGTACCAAGTTTTAGCGAACTGATACCGAGAAGTCCAAGGGGGAAGAAGTCTTCAATGAGAAACTCAACGAATTCTCAGAAATATGCTACTGCTGCTTTTGACATTTCCTTTTAAGAATTTTTATAACATTCTATAGAAGTAACATAACACATATGATGTTCTATAGTATTGAACTACAAGTAAAAATCAGTATGGAGCTTTCCAGAATGACAGCCCTCATGATAATTAACTTAAAGCTTGGTGAGAAAGGGTCACGCCTTAATTTCCTGTTGATACATTCTTGTTTGCACGGGAAGCAGGATTAAATGCATCAACACTGAGAACCCAAGTCTTCTGATAAGTGTCCCGTGAATAACCTAGAAAAATATGTCCCATTTACCACAAATACAAACAAAACCCCAAAACCCATGATTTGAAACAATCCAAGATGGACAAATACGGGGCATGAGTTCCACTTGAGCCAACCAGCCTATCAGTTCAAGCAATTTCATTGCTGCTACTAGGACTTGGCCTCACCCCTGCACAGGCTCTCACAGGTATCCATTGTCTGCCTGGATCAAGCAGTTATGAGTACTTCTTTTTTTTTTTTTTAATTTTTTTTTCCAATGTTTATTTATTTTTGGGACAGAGAGAGACAGAGAATGAACAGGGGAGGGGCAGAGAGAGGGAGACACAGAATCGGAAACAGGCTCCAGGCTCCGAGCCATCAGCCCAGAGCCCGACGCGGGGCTCGAACTCACGGACCGTGAGATCATGACCTGGCTGAAGTCGGACGCTTAACCGACTGCGCCACCCAGGCGCCCCATGAGTACTTCTAAAGGACAAAACATTACCTCGCAGCTCTACCGTGATCATTTATTTCCTACTGATTTTTGGATAAATCAAGCTCACACCTACCATTCTTATATTTGTCTTTCATTATTTTTTTTAAAGTTTTTTTTGTTGTTATTGTTTTGTTTTGATTTTGAGAGAGAGCACGTGCATGATCAGGAGAGGGGAAGAGAGAGTGGGGGAGAGGGAAAGAATCCCAACCAGGCTCCACGCTCGCAGTGCAGAGCCTGACGTGGGGCTTGATTTGACAAACCATGAGATCATGACTGGAGCCAACATCAAGAGTCTGATCCTTAACAGACTGAGCCATACAGGTATCCCCCGTCTTTCATTATTAAAGGAACTGTTTTGTCTTTCACTAGATAACATGCCGAAAAAGAAAAAAAAGCACATATGGAGGATAAACAACAGTAGGCCTTAATTTAAATGCTCCTTTGTCAGGGCACCTGGGTGGCTCAGTCGGTTAAGCATCCAACTTTGGCTCAGGTCATGATCTCGTGGTTTTTTAGTTCAAGCCCCGCATTGGGCTCTGTGCTGGCAGCTCAGAGCCTGGAGCCTGCTTCAGATTCTGTATCCCCTTCTCTCTCTGCCCCTCCCCCACTCATGCTCTGTCTCTTTCAAAAATAAACAAACATTAAAAAAATTTTAATAAAAAAAAATAAATGCTCAAATTTGTCAGGGCACCTGGGTGGCTCAGTTGGTTAAGCTTTGAACTTCAGCTCAGGTCATGAGTACATGGTTTGTGAGTTCATGCCCTGTGTTGGGCTCTGCACGGACAGCTCAGAGCCTGCCTGGGATTCTTTCTCCCTCTCTCTCTGCCCCACACCCCCCCCCCCAATAAATAAACATTTTTAATAAATAAATGCTCCTTTGTCTAGTCAGAAATGCTCCAGCCAAAAAGAACAGAGGCTAGTCTGTTACTACGTCCCCTTAGTCTGTAATGAAGTAATAAGTACAGGAACTGAGAGGCTTTAGAAACTTATACAGGATTGACTGAGAAAGCTTTTGCTTGTTGAATCTAATGACTGAAAAACGGGACTTTAAACAAACACTTCACCATAATACACATCTAATATACTCCTGACTTGTCTTTCTTCTTTGGCAAATCAACAAGGCACTGAACAGATACCTACGTCAGGATAAATGATAAAGTGGTTCATTACAAGGGTGAAAGAATCAGAACAGCAAGAGATGCAGCAGACTAACTTGCCTAAAGGCAGGAAAGACTTGTACCTAAATTCTGCAGACCTACTCCCTCTGCTGCAGATTTCCCACTGCTCCCTTTAGCCATCCCTAGGTTTAGTTCTCAAGAGAGAACGGCAACCTTCCTTATATCCAAACCAAATCTATCTTAAACCAAGCACAATAGCTTGGCTTCGAAGTAAATTTGGCAACAGAATCGGGGTTGACCTCTACTCCCCCAGATGGATCTTGAATCATTGTGCCCCTTGTCATTTCATGACAATTTCATGAGTGTGCTACTCACCTGAAGAATCTGAAAAAAAAAAAAACGAGCTGGGAGAGAACTACTAGTAGCATGTCAAGTGACACATTTTTTTTTTTAATAACTCCATCAAGGCCCTCTCATCCTTCTCCAGGCTTCCCAAATTCGTAACTATATCCATTGCCCAAAAGTAGTGACTAAGGATTAGGTAATTCTTGCTAAGTAAGGTCTGCTAGTGGAAGTATTTCAGAATATGAAAAGCAGCAGAACTGAAAAGACTTCAAGATTTTTTTTTTTTTTAAACTCCGGAAGAGTCTTTTCAGACAGAACACACTGGACATGAACAATAACTAATACATCTTCAATCCAGTGAGAAAGTGATTTGTTCATGGAGGAAGAACCCAGGTAACGCTCACAAAGGCCCAACAGACTCTCTTCCCACCGTGCCCATCAAGAAACGCTGTCTGTGGGGCACCTGGGTGGCTCAGTCGGTTAAGCATCAGACTTCAGTCATGATCTTGCAGTCTGTGAGTTCGAGCCCCGTCCGCGTCGGGCTCTGTGCTGACAGCTCAGAGCCTGGAGCCTGCTTTGGATTCTGTGTCTCCCTCTCTCTCTGCCCCTCCCCCGTTCAGGCTCTGTCTCTCTCTGTCTCAAAAATAAATAAACGTTAAAAAAAATTTTTTTTTTAAAAGAAAGAAGCGCTGTGTGAGAGGGCAGAAGAGGAGTCTGGTTCCTCAACACTTGTTTCACGGGAAGACTGCCTCACAAAATGTAATGGTCTTCCTTCCGGACCAGAGGGCCTTCTGACTGCTGCATTTCACCGAGTCAACTTTCACCCGATTCCTGCTGCCCGACACACTTACGCCTTTCGTTACATGCAATAGTCATTCTCTGGCACTTGTTAAGGAAGTGCCAATAAATACTTCAAAGACTTAACATCATTAAAGAAATGATTATAGCTCATTTCCACATATAATTGGTAACATGGATGAAAATTTATATCTGCCTCCTAAATCATCAGCCACGAGATCACAGAGTTGCCGACGTCTTGCTGAATAAGCACCTCAGTGTAAAATCAAAGTTTGTAAATTAAATGCTGTGTGCCAAGCTTGAAATGCCAGAGCCTTTTACTAAAAAGCTCTCATTAACAGGAACACCCACCAGCCCAACTACTGCACACCTATCTGTGAAGGACTCTCCATTTTTCCTTTCTTGTGCATTCCCGGCCTTGTTCTCACTGCGGCGGACGCACATGTGGCCATGTTTGCTAACTTCCCAGTTTTGTGTTTCTTTGCTCTCCACCCAGGGTATGCTGTGCTGGCCCTTGGGGCAAAGCCAGGTTTCACTCCCCAAGACACTATTTCAAGAAAAATTCCGCTCTATTCTAAAACCATTTACAGAACCAGAAATGTGTACTTCAGAAGGACTCACCATGAATGTCGCCTTCTCCCTGGAAAAGAAAAGAAAATTTTACTTCAGATTTTAATTTTGTAACAAATAAAGCAGTCACAGTTCTGAGAGGCTACTATTTGAAACCAAACGTGGAAGTTCATTTTGATGCAGTCAAGTTCAGGGTCAGGCCACAACACAATTACATTACAACCTTTATACTGACTTTGGGACAATGCTATACAAAACTGCTGCATGACAAATTGCCCCGGTGCCAGCAATACCCAACACACCAAAAAAACCTTAACATTTACACCGATGGCCTAATATCAATTAGCATTTCAGAGGATCTTTTATCAGAATGTGAAACTGGTAAGTTTATTTTTCCATGCTCCCTTTCCTTTTTCCTTATCTAGCTGTTGAGGGGCCTCTATAAATTCCAAAGTCCATTAAGAGGGTTCCACACTGGGATGGCTGACACCACTGTGTGCTCATAGGGCCCTACTTAGGAGGCCACCCTACCAGGCTTCCAGACACCTGCCTGGGGACATTGGGATCATGTTCCTCTGCAGACAACTGATGATAACACCCAGGCTGCAGTCTCCTCGAGTTCAGCTCAGAACAACTGGGCAACGTTCGTCAGGTCTTTGACCTCACACACACTACTATATACGACTTAGGTAGGAAGTGTGATCCAGAAGTTCCCAAAATCGATAGTGAAAAGAGAGAGACTGATCCAACTGGTAGAAGAGGCATGTGAACCAACCCAGATCATGTCACTTCAGTTTTCTGACTTTTCTCTTTATGGATCTTCCAGCACCAGTATGGCCTCAGGCCCTTCCCTAGTCACCTCTATGTAAGGCTCTAGTGACAGAACTGAAGCTCTTATTACAATAGGAAGGAAGTCAATTTCCAAACCAGATTAACCTCAAAGCCTTTCTTTCCCCCCCAACCCTGTGTTGTCACACTGACCTTCAGATCTAAGAAGTCTCCAGAGTTTGCTTCAGAAGAGTTCCTTCTCTGGGGTCCAGATGACTCAGAATCCTCTCTGCCACCACTAGACTTGGCACCTGAATTAAAACATACTTCCTTAAGGACTATGACAGAAAGACCAAAAGCAAAACACTTCTTTTGTGAATGATGTTCATGTTAGTCTTGTATCAAAAAATGAGCAAACAGGTTAAGTGAGAGCTTAAAAATTCTACAGAGGAACCAAATAGCCCAATTTGACTTCAATCCCTATTCTGACCCCTCTCCCAGGCTTTCCTCCAGTGACAAGACTTAACTGTTGTTGATCTCATTATGGTTGGGCTAGATTTTGCTCCTCAGCACAAAACCAACTGTAGTTATTCATGCTGGGTCTGTACCTTTGATCAGTGGTCACACATATAAGCAGTACCTGCTGACTTGGCCCATGAAGGGGGGTTTTCCTCAGGTGTCCCAAAGATGCTAGAGGCCATTTTGTTCCTCCTCACGGGTTGTTCTGTTGGTTCATCAAAGCCTAATGAAAAATTGGATCCACCACCTGGAGGCCGCAAAACCCTTGGGAGTAATGGCAAAAAACATCCATTTCAGATCATGCCAAAACATTTCTCAGCATAAATGTTTTCAAACACCTTTCAAATTCATTTCCCTCACCCATTCATTCCTCCTATCCACCCACCCACCCACCCCACCCCCTCCAAGAGAGAGCTGCTAATGGGAAAAGGGAACTGATTCTGTTGTGGTATAAAGTCGACACTGGATCACATCAGTCAGAATGCCTAGTAGCAGACAGACAAGAAGTAAGTGTTGACAAGGATGTGGAGAGAAAGGAACCCTTGTGCACTGCTGGTGGGAATGTAAACTGGTGCAGCCACTGTGGAAAACAGTATGGAGTTTCCTGAAAAAATTAATAACCGAAATCCCATATGATCTAGTAATGCTACTTTTGGATATCTACCCAAAGAAAACAAAAACACTAATTTGAAAAGATATATACACCCCTACATTTACTGCGGCCTTATTTACAATAGCCAAGATATGGAAGCAACCTACCTGTCAACTGATAGATGAATGGATAAAGAAAATGGATATTACTCAGCTCAGCCATAAAAAAGAATGAAACCCTGCCATTTCAGACAACATGGCCGGATGTACAGGGTATGATGCTAAATGAAATAAGTCAGACAGAAACAGTCAAATACTACATGATTTCACTTATATGTGGAACCTAAAAAAACCAAATGAACACACAAAAAAAACAGAAATGGGGCGCCTGGGTGACTTAGTCGGTTAAGTGTTGACTTCAGCTCAGGTCATGATCTCACAGTTTGTGTGAGCCCTGAATCGGGCTCTGCGCTGACAGCACAGAGCCTGCTTTGGCTTCTCCGTCTCCCTCTCTCTCTGCCCCTCCCCCACATGCACGCACTCCCGCTCACTCTCTCTCTCTGTCTCTCAAAAATAAACAAAACGTTAAAAAACAAAACCAGAAACAATCACAAACACAGAGAAAAAACTGGTGGATGCCAGAAGGGAGACAGGTAGGAAGGTGGGTGAACCAGGAAAGGGGATTAAGAAATACAGATTTCCAGTTATAAAATAAGTACATCATGGGGCTGAAAAGTACAGCATGGGGAATACAGTCAAGAATATAATAAATTTGTATGAGGACTGCATTTATCGTGGTTAGCATTTCATAAATGTATAGAATTGTCGAATCACTATGTTGTACACCTGAGACTAATAGATTATTCTCAATTAAAAAACTGAAAGTTTTTAAAAATTCAACACTGGATGTTAAGATACAAAATGCTGTTTTATAATATTTGTAGTAAGGACTTCTGACATGAAGACAGCTGAAAAAGCCTGAAAGTTATCACAAATAACAGCCTGGCTGACGTCCCCTTTTAGATAATGGCAAAAGACCTAACAGACCTTGCCTAATAGGATCAGCTGGATGCATTTGCAAAAAAGTTTAGAAGCATATCTTGTTATTTATTCAGAAAGCATTTCCATTTTTATTTTCAACAAAATTAAAAATGGAAGATTATACATATAAAAGTTAAGTTGACCAATTTAGAAGCCCATGGAGAGCGATACTAGTCTCTTCCTATCTAGCCATCGCCAGCGAGCCCCATTTATACACTTGCACCACAGTATTCTCACTAGTAAACATGAACAATTAGCCACAAGGAGGAAGTCCGTATGAGAAACTGGTGTTAAGATTCACAGAATGTTCGATAACCAGGCACCTTTGGACTCTCTAGCTTTCGGTTCAGCAAGGAAACCCAGCACTTGTCCATTTCCAAAGCTTCCTGCTTGGCTTGACCAACGTGTCCCATCCCTGGAAGAACTCAATTTAACTTGTCCTGTCACTGCTCAAAACACAGAAAATGGAGATGGTTTTATAGAAGGAAAGATTTTCTAACTACGGATTCAATTCTATTACTGGAGACAGGAGTAGTCTGGTTTTCTATTTCTTCTTAAGTCAGTTTGAAAAATATTTTTCTAGGAGGATGTCCATTTTATTCAAGTTTCCAAATAAAGAACAGTTGTCATTTGCAAACACAGCTCCTTATATTAGAAAAGGAAACATATGGGAAGAGGGGGGAAAAAAAAAGAAAAGAGGGAAACAAACCACAAGAGACTCTATTAGTGATAGAGAACTATGGGTTGACAGAGGGAGGTGGGTGGGGCGATGGGCTACATGGATGCTGGGTACTAAGGAGGACACTTGTGATGAGCACTGGGTGTTGTATGTAAGTGTTGAATCAATGACTTCTGAACCAATACCACACTGCATGTCAACTAAAATTTAAACTTTTTAAAACAGTGAAAAAGATAAAAATAAATTTTAAAAATAAGAAAAGGAAAAATTAAACACTTACAGCATAAATGCCTTCCTAAGTGCCCCTCTAAAGGCATTCCAAGTTTTGTTTTTTTAACTATCGTTCCACTCTAAATATTTTCTCCTTCCCATTATTTTCTTCTTTGACCCATACATTATTTAGAAGTACATGTATCAGTTTCCAAACACAGGGGTCTTTCTGGTTTATTAATTTCTAGTTTTTAACTACAACACAGACAACAGTCTGTATGATACGAATCCTTTGAAATGTGATGAGATGTGATTTATGGCCTAATATGTACTCAATTCTATAAATCTATATATTCTTAAAAAGAATGTGTATTTGTTAATGTTCTATATGTCTACTAGGATCAAGCTTGCTAATGAGTTGTTCAAATCTGATTTTTAAGTATGTTAAAAAAAATTTTTTTTAATGTATTTTTGAGAGAAAGACAGCACGAGTGGGGGAGGGGCAGAGAGAGGGAGACACAGAATCACAAACAGGCTCCAGGCTCTGAGCTGTGAGCAGAGCCCGACACGGGGCTCGAACTCACGGACCTTGAGATCAAGACCTGAGCTGAAGTCAGACACTTAACCGACTGAGCCACCCAGGCTCCCCTAAGTATGTTTTACACTTAATGAGTGAATCCATTAACAATTCCTACCACAATGAAGAGTTTGCCAGTTTCTCCTCAGAATTCCGTCAAGATAAGAGTTCTCTCTCAGAATGACTGCCACTGGAGTAAATGTTAGATCAGTGGGAAAAACTGCATTGGGCTGACTAATCATTTTGATAAAACAAAACATATCCCTCACTCATTTTATTTACCAAAGTAAGTTCCAGCTAGGCAAAATTATTTATTCAATTTATGTATTTTTTTTAAAGTTTATTTATTTATTTTGAGAGAGAAGAGGGTAGGGGAGAGGAGGGGCAGAGAGAAAGGGAGAGAGAGAGAATCCCAAGCAGGCTCCGTGTGGTCAGCACAGAGCCCCCACATGGGGCTTGAACCCACGAACCATGAGATCATGACCTGAGCTGAAATCAAGAGTCGGATGTCTAACTGACTGAGCCACCCAAGCACCCTCTTTTACTTATTTTTTGAGAGCATTTCATATACTAGTGATGTTATCCTTTGTTGATTATGTGTATTTTTGCCAAGTTTAATTCGTCCATCTTTTCACAGTTTCTGGCTTTCATCTTGTACTTAGAAATAAAGCCCTTTTCTTCAAGACTAGGACCACATTTGTACAAACTTTTGTTTGTACAAAATTTTTTTTTTAATATTTATTTTTGGCAGAGAGAGAGCATGCGAGCGAGCACGCACACTCACCAGTGGGAGAAGGGCAAAAGAGAGGGAGACAGAGGATCCCAAGAAGGATCTGCGCTGACAACAGAGAGCCTGACTCGGGTTCCCACTCGCGAACCGTGAGATCATGACCTGAGCTGAAGTCAGCCGCTTAACAGACTGAGCCACCCAGGTGTCCCTGTACAAACTTTCTAAAGGACATTTTGATAATATGTGTCAACTGTTTGCTTTTTATATGAACCAGCATTTCTACTTCCAGAAATTGCCCTAATTAGATAACCAGATATATATACAAGGATACTCCTTTAAAAATGTTTATCTACAAATAAATTTGGGAATACCCTAACTGTCCATTAGCAAAGGCTTAATTATCAAAGCATGTCCACACAACAGAAAGCTGTATACATTAGGGTAAGAGTTACCTTCATTAGTGGATATGAAAAGTTACCCAAAACACAGTGAATGAAAAACGCTGGAAGACAAACATAAGCCCAATGACGTGTTACACAAAATGACGTGTACAGAGATAAATTTATCTGGTTGTGTGATCTTAGATAAACTGCTTGACTTTTGTTTTGCTTTTCTCTTCTAATGTTCTTTTGTTTCTGTTTTTGTTTTAAAAGAGAGAGCAGTTTTTTAGAGGAAAGGGGCAGAGAAAGAGGGAAAAAGAGAATCTTAAGCAGGCTCCATGCTCAGCACGGAGCCTAACATGGACTTAATCCCACAACCCTGAGATCATGACCTGAGGTGAAATTAAGAGTCAGATGCTCAACCAACTGAGCCACTCAGTGGCCTCTGCTTTTATCTTCTACCAAAAGAGGTTAGTAGTAATTGCCTCATAAGACTATTCTAAGAATATCCAATATACTGTGCTTAGAAGGCAGCAGTCGTAGCTATTAGCATCACAACTAGACATAAAGGCCTGAGAAGTACCCATACCACAATGGCATCCAGGGTTTGTGCTCTCAGATAGGATTTCAGGTGAATTTCAATGTCCTTTTTTATACTTCATATTTTTCTGTATTGCCACTAATCTAAAATTCTTTCAAAGACTCCTTCTGGGTTCCAGAATTCCCTGACAACCTTTCTTTCTTTTTTTTAACTTTATTTTTTTAACATTTATTCATTTTTTTTAAGCGAAAATGAGAGAGAGAGAGAGAGACAGAGAGAGAGAGAGAGAGACAGAATCCAAAGCAAGCTCCAGGCTCTGAGCTGTCAGCACAGTGCCTGATGTGGGGCTCGAACCCACCAACCGTGAGATTGTGACCTGAGCGGAAGTCCAAGCTCCCCTCCCTGACAATCTTTCTTTTGACAGTACTAATTTTCCTACTGGCCACTGCATGTGATCATTTGTGGACATCCGTGTCCCCTTGGATCTTTCAGCAGAAATTGTGGCTCCTCTGCTGACACCCTGGCCTGGACTCTCTAACACTGCCTCTTCTTCCCATGTGGCCACTACCCGCAAGCCAGCAGAGATGCAAGGTAACGTGACAAACTATCAACATGGCCTCTCAACCGTATCTAGTTCTTACCATCTTCTTCACCAATCCAGTCATTTTCTCACTGTTCCCCAGAACAGTTCTGGTTTATCTCCACTTTGGGGTATTTACTCCCATCTTTACTCCTGCCTAGAGCACTCTCCACCCTTTCCTCAAGCATCCCTCAAAACCGGGCCCATCTCTTAAACCTCAACCTCCTCCATAAAGCAGACTAGTAGAGCTCTCCATAGGCTCAAAGAATACCAGGTAGAACACGGAGGAAAGGATGGCTTCTGGTGTGAAGTGCCCAAGAGTAAATATTTTTGGCCTGTGGGTCATGCAGTATTTTGTAACTATTGGGGTCTGTCATGTGGCACAGAGGCAGCCACAGACAACATGCAAACAAACGAGTGCAGCTATTTTCCAATAAAACTTTATTTACAGACACTGCAATCTGACTCTCCTATAATTTCCACAAGTCATGAAATGAATCTTTTTTTGCAACCATTTATAAATGTAAAAATCAGGTACCCGCTGCGTTTAGCCCTTGGGTGATTGTTTGCTGGGCTCTGTTCTGTCTAGTTCAACAGCCTCATTTTAAAGAGCGCAAAGTCTGGGGCGCCCGGGTGGCTCAGTCGGTTGAGTGTCTGACTCCGGCTCAGGTCATGATCTCATGGTTGGTGGGTTCGAGCCCCACATCGGGCTCTGTGCTGACAGCTCAGAACCTGGAGCCTGTTTCAGATTCTGTGTCTCCCTCTCTTTCTGTCCCTCCCCCACTCTCACTTTGTCTCACTCTGTCAAAAATAAATAAATGTAAAAAAAAAAAAAAAAAAAAATTTAAAGAGCGCAAAGTCAAGCCCCGAGAGCCTCTGAAGAAATTGTCCAACATTAGTTAACTGACGGTGACGAGGACCAGAACCCAAATCCTCAGTCTCTGGCCAGCACAGAAGTGCTCAACGTGCTAAAATACCGGAGGCACAGAAGGCCATTTTCTCTTTCATTTTCCTACACACCTATGTACTGGTGCTTTGATTAGTTTCCATGTTTCCCAATCTTAGAGTGTCTTCTATTTCTTCTGTAGGTCCTCTAGCGTCCTCCCCTGGATCACAGACTTGTGTGTGTCCACAGTATAATTCAATACAGAAATTGCACTAAATAAAAATGTCATTATTTTCCCCCTCGGGCGGGGAGGTGGTGTGGGAGGGGAGGTTGGGGAGACCCACTGTGTTTTTGGTAACATGTAAAATATTTATAACTCTACTTTTTTTTTCAAGTTTTAGATATTAAATATCCACTTGGATTAATTTCATTATATGAATTAAGATAAGTGTATTCAGGCATACATTATATAAAGTTGATAATTTTAGGTTTGCTTAATTAAATGGTTTAAATCATAATTAAAAGTGTATTATAAATTCTTAATAGGCTTTCTCTCATGTTAAAGTTTGAAGCAACCAGGTTTTTATCCCTTGTTTGTACCCAAATCAACAAAGAGTCAATAAAATCAAAATTCACTTGTTCCCTTGAGATTAGAATGATTTTTTTTTTCCTTTATCATCGTAATTAAACCCTCATGAATTAGCCAGATGAAAATCTCCAGAACCCTAATGGTCTGGGAAGTATTTTTTGGCCTTAAAAAAAGAAAAAAAGACACTAGTGCCCAAACACCGGCTTAAAAAGAAAGTCAAAGCTCTGCGCACCCAACTTTTTAAAGGTCTGTGTTCCTCTTGCAAGAGCAGGTAATACCTACTCTGATGACGTCAGTGTTGTAAAGCCCGTTTGTAACAGTGAGACATCCCCAAACAAAGGATTTGGATCATAAGACAGAAATTATTCCAATTTTATTTTTTAAGTTTCTCCTATTCTTTCTGAACCACACAGGGTAACTAAACCAGGATTACCTACTTGAGACTCACCAAAAATGGACCCATGTACCACGGATAACAATTAAAAAACCAAAAATCACTTTTTCTCTCTTCTTTCTCTAGATGCCAGAGCTCCCATGTGATCTTTGCAGATCATCCCGCCCCAGACTAAATTTACAATGTGCTTATGGAGCCAGAAGAATGTTACTGCAGAAACAACTGAAGGAAAATTAGGCGAGATTACAGAGGAAGTAAAGGTAGGAAGTAAATAAAAGGACAAAGCTCCAGTCCTAGGATCACGATACTGGAGGGAAATTGATGACAAAAGGTGAATGAAAGCATTTATTCTGCAGAACCCAAAACCATTTGGTCTCACATTTCGAATATCCGTATCAAAAAACTAGCACGAGGATTCCTTTGACCTGGGTACTGAAATTTTTTATGAAGCACTAAACTACACTCAACCCCAAAAGATGAAACCTGATTTTTTTTTACATAATGTATAAATTTTCACGTTCCAGTCACTACAGTTTGACCAGCAGAAAGTTGACCGCATGGCACAAAAAGAAAGGTTCGGCGTGTTCCAGTGTCCTCGGCAAAAAAAAATGATCTCATTGCAAGAATGACAACAGAAGAGGGAGTGACCAGTATTTTTGTAGGTCTATCCTCCTCAAGGTCCCCAACCTTCCAGGACCCACTAATTTATTTTAAATCTTTCCCACTTTCCTACATTGTATAAGGGAAAGGAATGAGTTGAAAAGGGGTGTCATTTCCAACCTGCCGCCTAAGCCTCGCTGCTGAGGCCAGCTTTTTGTCCCCAAGTTCTCCAACCCCTGTGAGGCACTGCTATTTCACGGCTGTCTTCTTAGCCCCACAAAATGGCTCCCTTTGTGCCACTTGCCCAGGACCCCCAGGCTGGCCGCACACGACTGCAGGTCGTGATCAATGAAGAATAGATGCCTAGAAAAAGTGAAACCTAAGCTTCCTACAAGCCCTGAGCAGGATCCCAGAGATGCCTGTATCCCGTCTTAAAAGAGAACAGTGTGCAATTAGCCGAGACAATGTGGACACCTTCCGCCGGTTCCAAACCCTTCCACCAAGTCAGGCAAGGGCTTGGAAAAGGATCCCAGTGCAAACACCCAGTGCCCTCATCCCCTAATGCAGTAGCGACTGTGGCCAGAAAGGCCCCGACATCCCAGGTGCAGATAGTAGGGAAGAGACAATGGATGTCTCCGGCCCCGCCCAAGAACAGGAAACCTCCTCCTGCTAGGGAACCCGGGCCAGGGAAGAACTCGTTTGACAAACGTCAAAAGGGGGAGGGAAAGAGGAGGGATGCAAAGGCCGAGGTCCGAAGGTTTGAGCGCAGAAAACCCACTCGGACAGGCTCGCCACCCTTTTGCGTTCGGAGGTGGGCGCGGGAGGGGAAGGAGCAGGGGTCTTTCCTTTGTTAGCAGAGGAGAAGCACTTCGCAGAGGGCTGACGGTTGGGTCCCGGACGGGCGTGGGGGTCGCGATGACCAGCCCCCGCCCGACCACAAATGCCACCTGCCGGGCGGGCCCCAGTGGATAAGCGCCCGCAAGACTCAATCGCTGCGGCCGAAGGGGGTGGCCACCGGGGCGGGGGGGGGGGGGGGGGGCACCGCCACCTGCCCGGGGCCAGAGGCAAGAGCGCGTGGCCAGAGGTGGGACAATGGGGCCTGACCGGGACGCCCCGGGGGCTGCCCCGGCACGTCGGGGCCAAGACCACCGCCCTGGGGCCGGTCAGCCGCACCGCAAAGGGAAGGAAACGAACCCTGTCCGCTTGGCCTGACTACCGAAAGCCCGCAGCACTGCGAGGACCAGCGGCCCCGGCCCTCCCCGACCGACTCCTCGCTCCGGGGGAGGAATGAATGGGAGAAGCGGGAGTCGGGTGGGGCCGGCGCGACGGGCTCGCCCGACGGCACAAAGACGGAGCAGACGGTCGAGCCCCGCCGCCCGGCCGGGCACGAGCGCGACAGCCAGGGCACGTCACCGCCAACGACCCGCCGCCCTGCCCCCGTGGCTCCGCCGGACGGCGGCCTGCCCTGCCCTCGAGCCCCGCGCCGAGCGGGGGCGTCCCCGCAGCCTCACCGGGAGCTATTCCTGCTGTTGGGGTCGACTCCCTTGAAGGTGGTGGTGGTGGTCATGGTGCCGAGGAGCGAGGTAGGCTGGCGTGGGAGCAGAGTGCTGAGGGTCGGATCCGAGGGGCGCAGAGCAGCTCCGCACCGCAACGCCAGCAACCGCTGCAGGAGCCTCCGCCACCGCCTGCCTCACGGGCCGCAGCCTTTATAAGGCTCAAAAGAACCCGCCCCCGCCGTGCCTGTATTGGCCAATTCAAATAGCTCTTTCGTTCCTATTGGTTCCCTGAAGTGCCAAGCATCGGGCGGCACCCCGACGGGCTGCGGTGGCCCTGCTCGGCCTAAACCCGCCCCCTTCCTGGTCAGGGTGGGTCTATGGAAGTTCCCCCTCCCCCACCCCCAAATCTTGGTGATGATTGGACAAAGGACAAACCTGCCCAGCGTTGGGCACAAGTTGTGCTGTCACTTAAAAAAGTTACCTGACTGAGGGAAAAGCTCGGTCAGCCCCCACCAAGCCCAGGGCAGATTTGTCTTGACCATTTCACTTACGTGCCTTACTCATGGTGAGATAGTAAGGGCATGCTCCTTAAGGGATGAAAATTACTGCTGCAAATTGACATTCATTGAATACCTACTGTGTGTCCCGTTTGGAAACATGACAGTCTCAAAGCAGCAGCACTATGAGTCAGCAACAGAAAGCAAGCCAAGACGATCCCTTTGAAAACGACTGGAAATTCTTCACATTTTAATGTTACTATTTAGCTGTCAGGGGTGGTGCATGTACTAGACCAAAATTACAGTCGTTCCGATTTGAGGGCCTGTTCTAAGGCTGGTTAATGCTCGGCGGTGGGGAATGGTCACATCCCTTGCTACCAAGACTATCGAGCAGGCCTGGCCTCTGCAGCTGTTTATAACCCTTAAGTCATGACTTCCACCTGTCTGGGTAAATCTATCCCTGCAACAAATGCAGACAACACTTGGAGGACTCAAGAATGGCTGTTTACAAGATCGTAATGGGAAAGTCTTGAGCAAACAAGAGTGGAGGCCTTCCCATGTCATGCATGTTTCCTCAAGGCAGACCCTTTTCAGTATTTCCATAAAAATTGAACAACATTCGACTCTGTGTGGCCTCCCCCTTCTTGGCAGTTTGGAAGTTTATATTCTTGGTTAACCTCTCTCCTGGGTTTTCGTGAAAAGGTAGAGATAAGTTCACTCCTAAAAGGCATGGATCATGTCTTTATGTGCTGACCACTCATTTGAATTAAAATCTTCCCATTCTTTCTTTCTTTTTTTTTTTTTTTTTTTGTAAGATTTTATTTTTAAATAAAATCCACACCCAACCTGGGGCTTGAAACACAACCCTGAGATCGAGGGTTGGCGGGCCCCCCCCCCCCACTGACCGAGACAGCCAGGCGCCCCTAAAATCTTCCCATTCTTAAAGACTGGGCCTAAATTTCTGAAACTTTTGAAAAAACAGAACACCTTTCAGACCAAGTTGGCCAGTGAGCACACATACCCTTCTAGTAAGTCATATAATTATCGACTAAGAGGTAGAGTATGGTCTCTCAGGCTCTCATAGGAGAAACCAGAGTTTGAATCTGAACTCTTACCTTTTCTGAGCACTAGTTTCCTCATTCGTAAAAATAAGGACAAAATAGTATTTCAACTCCAGACTTGTAAATGAAGTAATGGATAGAAAGTGTTTGGCTCCACACGTAAGAAGTCATCAAAGTGATAGTAGCTATGCTTATTGTCAGATATACTTGGAAAGTAAGTACAAACTTTTTAACAATCTGAAATTGTTTTTTATGTATTAAATGAGGGGGTTGGACATATCTTCAGGTGGGTCCCTTTTGGTCTAAAGTTTTGAGTTCATACTTGACTTGCCCTATTTCCTCCATCCCCTGTAATGTAAAAGACAGATTGGTAGGGCAATACACCAGACTGGAAATTGAAAACCGTTAAGTTCTGATTCTGCTCCCTTAAAAAGACACTTCTCCCATAAAAGACACTTCTAGGTCATTTATGCTCTTGCTTCCTCATCTATAAATGGGGTTAACAGCACCTATTCTACGTTGTTGTGAAGGGCTTGAAACGAGAGAATTTTAAGAATGTTGACTTGGTAAACTAAAGCTTTCTATGAGAGCTGCCCCATCCTGGCTGAACATCAGAATAACCTATGAGCTTTTAAGGAACAAAAATGAATGCCAGGCCCCCACTGAGATCTCCTGAATTGGAATTTCCGGGGGGTTGGGCGCGGGAGAGTGTAGGGGGGGTGTGGGGTAGGGTCTACTCATGGGTATCTTTAAGAAGTTAAACAGATAGCTTTCCCATGTGGCTTGGGCTGAGCACCTCTGCTTCAAAGGTAAGGGATCCGTCCCAGGGCACCCTTTTAATCTAATGATTTGTAAAGAAGAATAAAGTATATAAGACAGATAACTGATGGGGCGCCTGGGTGGCGCAGTCGGTTAAGCGTCCGGCTTCAGCCAGGTCACGATCTCGCGGTCCGTGGGTTCGAGCCCCGCGTCAGGCTCTGGGCTGATGGCTCGGAGCCTGGAGCCTGTTTCCGATTCTGTGTCTCCCTCTCTCTCTGCCCCTCCCCCGTTCATGCTCTGTCTCTCTCTGTCCCAAAAATAAATAAAAACGTTGAAAAAAAAATTAAAAAAAAAAAAGACAGATAACTGATCAAGGCCATCTTAAGCAGGCCTGTTTGGTGCATTGTATTTTAAAGTAAAATTGTCAGGGGTGCCTGGCTGGCTCAGTCAGTATAGCATGTGACTCTTGAGCTCAAGGTCGTTAGTTCAAATCCTGCATAGAGCTTACTTAAAAATAAATAAAAGAGATTCCTGCCTTAAATAATAAAGTAAAATTGTCAAAAATTTCCAGAATAACAAGCCCTCCTATTTACTTGTTCATGTCCTACAGCAGTTTTGACTAAAATCACTGTACTCCCCCTTTCTGCTACAAGATGGAGATGTGGGGTAAAACAGGTATGATACATAATTCGGCTATAATGACCTTTGTGCCAGATGACCAACTGAAAATGGGACATTAATGAAATTACATTCTATACAAAAGATCACAGATCAGATCAGGATCAAAAAGATGCAAAAGGATGGCCACTTTTATTTTTTTATAATATTTATTTATTTTTGAGAGACAGAGACAGAGCACAAGTGGGGGAAGGGCAGAGAGAGAGGGAGACACAGAATCCGAAGCAGGCTCCAGGCTCTGAGCTGTCAGCACAGAGCCCGACGCGGGACTTGAACTCACAGACCACGAGGTCATGACCTGAGCCCAAGTCTGATGCTTTTACCAACTGAGCCACTCAGGCATCCCAAGGATGGCTACTTTTAAAATCATAATGGTCCATATCACTGATTTTTTAAATACTTATCTAGGGCTCTGTATCTATACAACAGTTGTTCCAAACCCTTAGGTTAACCTAAAAACCTAAAGAAATAGAAAGACAAATGAAAGCTTATGACAAGGAATGGTCCAACAAGCTATTTCACGACTATACCAATGTTTTCCAAACTTTTATGAAACAGAATCCAAATATGTAACACAGATGAACAAGAGGGCATCTGTGACTGAAACCGAGCAGAGGGTCCAAAATCCTGGCCCTTTCTGCTTCCCCACCCCTGGCTGGCCTTTCTCTCCACTGCCTTCTTTTGGCACACCCCATGGTTCTATGCAATTTCAAAATCACTGCCCTATATGTATGTTCCACTTTCACCTGCTTTTTATTTTTTTTAATTTCACCTGCTTTTTAAATAAGGTGGAGGGAATGAGCAGTTATCCACACTCTGCATAACTTCTCATGCCTTTAAGCAGTTAAGTGCCCTTTGATTTCACTTAGTCCCATGCTGCCACTTCTCTGCTACAAAGTACCAGTCAGTTACTGGTGGCTGGGTGGCTCAATCAGTTAAGCATATGACTTCAGCTAAAGTCATGGTCCCAAGGCTCATGAGTTCGAGCCCCGTGTCGGTCTCTGTGCTGAAAGCTCAGAGCCTGGAGCCTGCTTTGGATTCTGCGACTCCCTCTCTCTCTCTGCCCCTCCCGTGCTCATGCTCTGTCTCTCAAAAGATAAATAAGTGTTAAAAATAAATAAATATAAACAAACATTTAAAAAATTAAAAAAAAAAGATGTCAAAAATGTTTAAAAGCCCTAATAATTTTCCTTTAACATGAACAGAAATCCTAGTGGTTTTTTCATTTGTTTCTAGGTATGTGGAGTTTTATTCGAGAATGCAATGTATAACTTACTCAGAATAATCTGGAAGTTGCTCTTCACCTCTTGAGCCTACTAAGGTAAGTAATACCTAAATTTATTCAACATTTATTTATTTTTGGGACAGAGAGAGACAGAGCATGAACGGGGGAGGGGCAGAGAGAGAGGGAGACACAGAATCCGAAACAGGCTCCAGGCTCTGAGCTGTCAGCCCAGAGCCCGACGCGGGGCTCGAACTCACGGACCGCGAGATCGTGACCTGGCTGAAGTCGGACGCTTAACTGACTACGCCACCCAGGCGCCCCAGTAATACCTGAATTTAAATGAAACACAAAAACATACTAACATTCTGTCTCTTAGCTCTCAAGCATCTGTTTTTGCATTGGATGTTACCAACTTTGTTCTGAATCCCCCATAATTTCAACCTGCCCCGATTTATTCCAGCACCCTAGAAGAAGTGGGCAAATTACAGGGCCTTATTATTGGTATTTACTCTGCCTAGATTATGCGATCAGGTTTGAACCAATTTCCTAGTTAATGTCTCTCCCTCTGATCCAAAACACACATAGGTTGAGCCCCTATGAAATAAATTGCAGACATTTAACTATTTTTAACCTACAAGAACAATAATTATTTATATTCACCCATAGTTTAATACATCTTTTCTTTTTTCTTTAAGTAATCTCTACACCCAGCGTGGGGCTCAAACTCATGAGTCTGAGATCAAGAGTCACATGCTCTACCGACTGAGCCAGCGAGGTGCCCCGATACATTTTCTTAATATTTTCCATTCCTCCTATTATTAAAAGAAAATGCTGGTCTTATGCTTTTGAACTTCACTAAGTAACTGAACTAATGAATGACTCACTGACAAGTATTTCTAACAAGCTTTTGAACCCCAGGATTGCAGGGTGCCCATGTCACTTATGTGTGACTTAACCACACATATTTACACATACATTCTGTATC